GGCATCGGTCCTCAGAGCGCTCGCAAGGGGAAAGTCGGGGACAGCGGCAGCACTGGATAAGAGCATTCTTTCATCGGCCCGGGTCAGGGTAGTCTGGTTTTCTCATTGGTGAAGCCGATTACGAACGTGAAGGTCACGGTATCCGGCGAGTCAGGAGATTCTGGTTCTTAATCATGTTTTCTTGTGGAAGCTGGCTGGGTTCAATGGAGGACGCAGGAGCGGCCGTAGAGTTCCTAGAAAAGGCTCAAACAAGAAAACCCGGCTCTGGGATTTTCTTGTTTGGTTCTGTTTCGGTTGAGCTTTGAATAAGACAACGAGACTCAGATTTGTTCAGCCCTGTCTCAGGTTACTTATTGTTGAGTGTTTACCTGATGTCCTTTAAATCCCAAAAACTACAGTCTGCCCCAAACGGTGAGGTGTTCTCTGTAGTGTTTCAGGTTCAGTTGGGGTGTGAAGAGATTAAACGTTTGCTCGCAGAAACGGACCCCCCGGGTTCACTCAGTTTTGCCTGCTCCGCCTGCAGTCGGTTTCTCCGTCGGCAGCCTTTGCGACTGCCTCCTCCAGGCCGGAAGCAGCGAGTCCCAAAACGGTTCAGTAGACAGGAGATGCGGGGTCATGCCAGGTATGTGAGCTGGGTCCCGGCCACGGCGAGCATGGCCTCCCAGGAAGCCACATCCATCTCGGTTAAGGCCCGCATGGACCACTGGCACCAAAAGCCTCCGTTTTGCAGCCTCGCAGGTGGTCAGGCAGGCCAGCTGGACCCCTGCCCGAGTGCCATGCTCTCGTAAACAGCCTGAGGCTTTCGACACGAGTGCATTTACCGAGGTGTAGCCGGGTTGAGCTGCATAGCTGTCCCTGCCATTTTCAAGGGAGTTCGATCCAGTGTTTTGGGCATATGGTTAGACCATGTAGGAGCGTTGATCGTGTGATTCGGTCTGCCCCACCTGAGGTGGCCGAGGCGAGTTGGACCGTAAGGTAGCCCAGGGAGTCATCCAGCACGCTTTGAAATCTAGACGGGCTTTCATTTCATGCCATGCACGCCTTTGGTGCCATGTTTGGTCAACAGGCCTCAGACGCTTCAGCGGAGGAGAAGGTGGAGGCGAAGCGGAGTTTGAGGACACGGCAGGCGCTCTCGGAGCAGCTGGGCACCGCTCGCAGCAAAGGGCAGTCCGATGCCGCGCTTGACCTCCCAATCAATTTCCTGGAGAATTTGTTGCTGTCTTCCAAGAAAGAGCTGGATGATCGCCTTGATATCGACGAGGTGCAGAAAGCCCGCGACAAGCTCCTCGATGCACTCTACTGTAAAACGATCCGGGGCGGAACTAACGAAGAGATGAATGCCATTATGATCTACAAGGGTCGCCCGTTGAGAGCACAGCTTCTTCACTTCGCCGTTTGGGTATCGGCCCAACTTCATGAGAACTCCTGTGTCGCCAGACTGCTGCCATACCTTTCGCAGTCAGATCTCAGCGCCAAGGCCAAGTACCGGTTGAAGCCGGGTAGCATGGACGAAGCTTGGTTAGATGCAATTCATGTTGCCTCTGGGCTGGGTGCCGTTCCGGTGATGCACGTGCTCTTGCAGCATGTGACACAAGCCACAGGCATTGACTCTGCTGCATATGTAAACACACCATGTTTGGTTCACCACGTGGCGCCCCAGAGTGACATGAATATGAATATGAATACAAATGAGCAGTCCAACGCCAACGAGTGGGATGAGGATTTTTACATGCCACTCCACGATGCCACCAATGCAGGCAACGTGGAGCTGTCTCTTTGGTTGCTGGCCCATGGTGCCGATGCATGTGCCGGTAACAAGGACGGCGTGAGCCCTTTACACTTCGTGGCCACGCGTGGAATTGAGGGTGGACTGGAAGCCGAAAGTCAGGTCACTCACCTTGTCCAGTCTCTGCTGAGGCAGGAGCTGCCTTTTTTTTGCGGTAAGTCTATAGCGACTACTCACAGTGTAGCGAACTCGTAGACGACGCGCGAAGCAAGCACGGCGTGAGAGGCACCGGGCAGGGCTCGACGTGAGAGTTCCTGAAGAGAACCCGAACAAGCAGATGGCCGGCAAGACGCCATTGGAGCTGGCAGCCCTGGACGGAAGCCGCTTCTTGGACTTGATGTGACTTGGGGATGTTCGGGTATGAAGGGACTCGAGGGATGTGTTTGGAGATGTTTTGGTGTAATTAGAGCTGCAAAAACTGAATAGGTGTCTTGACGCTGTCTGCTAAGGCTTCCCGAAGCACATGATGCACGTCTTGGCCCCCTGCCTGAACAGTCTGTCGGAGCCGACTTTCTTCAGTGACATCTACTTCTTGGTGGGTCTCAACGAAGACGCTGCCCTGGAAGTGGTGCGGGAGTTGGCTCGACGCTCCATCCGTCAGCCAGAGCTGCTGCACAATCTACGCTTTGACTCCCAACTGTCTGGGCGCACGGATGTGATGGTGGGACTTGTTTCGAACAAGCTTTTGATATCCGCAGTAGCTACTGCTCCCAATCATGTGACATGCCTGGGGCTTAGGGTCTGCAATTATTATAAGTTGTTATTTCAATGAATCCCCGTGCGGTGTCTGCAGGCGGCAATCTTCTTTGAGGCGCCCTCCGCAGCAAGCGAAATGTTGGACTTGCTGATGGTGGAGCCACACGTGCAGGATGTCGCGAAGCACAATGTGCCCAATAAAACGAGCTTCTGGGGGCTCTTCAGCAACCTGCCTATGCACTGCACCTATCGCCCAGATGTAGTTGTGCAAGATAGCCTCCTTATCCCGAGCTGGAAATTTGACAGCCAGAAATCATTTGACCAGCAGCCAAACATCCAGTGGCACGCGGACTTTATCCCAGCGGTGCACAAATCGAGACAGAGCCGGGACCATGTTAGCTCCGTCTGTGTCAAGGCTCTCTTGATCCCGAACATGTTGGACATGGACATTGTGATGGCCATGTCAAGAGTTGAGAGCCAGGACTTGCCCGTTTTTGGAAAGCTGTCCATCCAGGGGATCGTCCATTGCTTGTGGGAAAATTTGTTCCAGACTGCATGGCACTTCAATCTCTTTTGCATGGTCGTCGAGCTCGCATGCTGCGTTCACTGGGGCTTGGCCGGGTTGCACACACTGTCCGTCAACACCAAGGAAGGTACGTGGGCTGCCGTGTCCTGGGTCATCATGACCTCCAGCGGCTTTCGGGACATTTTGCTTCTGATTGTGCTACTGTTTAACTGGTCGAGCAAGCAACTGGGTCATCAGAGTCCTTTGATGCAGAGCATGTGGAGCTTGCGATCTTCTACTCTTGCAACCTGGTGCCTTCCGACGCTTTTTCTATCGTTCATCCAGCTCGTGTTCTCATACAGTGCACAAAGTTCAGTGCAAAAGCTGACGTCCTTTCCGGAGGAGGAGCTCCTTTTTCTGTCAACCAACGTCCTATTCAGAAGTTGGACCATCATCTACACCTGCCGTCTCCACGCCTCAGGATTGCCAATCCATGCAATTTCGAACTCTCTAGTTGGAGGTGCCACACGGCAGATCATGGTCATCACGATGATGATTTTTGCATCGTTTTGTTTTGCCTTCCTCATCATTGACAGCAACAAGAAGAGTAGCTGGGTGCTGAGCTCTGCCTACAGGGGCCTGCTTTTCGGCTCAGGCATGGGCCTCGACAATCTCGGACTGGATGTCGGGCCAGGTTTCGGCGACAATGACGTACTTATGACAGAGGTGAGCGTCATCGGCTCCTCTTTTTTCTGTGTCATCGTGCTGAACTTGATCATTGCTGTTTACAGCAGCGAATACAACAGAGTACAAGGAGACATCCCTCACCATTTCTTGCATGCGCGCACGATATACTGTCTGATGTATTTCCTCTCGGGCCACACCCTCCCGTGGAAAGGACACCATTTCAATCGTTTGCTCCTAGTCGGGGCTGTTGGCACGTGCGTCCTATCCATAGCCGCTCCGATATTCCTGTTTGTTGGCGTGTGGATCCCTTCGGTGGTCCTTGCACTTGCGGAGGTTGCTATTCTGGCTGCCCTTTTGCAGTGTCCAGATTTAAATGTGAAGATTTTGCGAAACAGCCCGAACACCCATGAGATGATAGATCTGAAGGGATGTTTCCTTGCCCGATTACGTGCCTGCCCAGGTGTGATTGGTTCAGCATGGAGGGTGTGGCTCATTCAAAAGAGGAGCACTTTCTGTGGATATGCTATCGGGCTGACGACAGCGCAGGCTTGCGGCACAGAAAAAGATGATCTTCCATAATTGCGGCCGTCGTCGCGGTGGTTGTGGTTGTGGTTGTGGTGGTGGTTGTTGTTGCCGTTGTTGTTGCCGTTGTTGTTGCCGTTGTTGGTGCCGCTGCTGCTGCGGCTGCTGCGGCTGCTGCTGCTGTTGGCATAGCGCATGATGAATAAAGTGTGCGTTGGCCCTGAGGCAATTTAGATGACGGCGGTCTAACCGCCGAGAACAACTTCCGGGACAAGCTCGTCGAGGTGCGGACGCACGTGGACACGTGTTGGGCGGGCTTGCGGAGCAAAGCGGCCGGTGTGGACCACAAGCTTGACGAGCTGATCGAGATTCTACAGTGAGGTCGAGCTTACTCAGCACAAGTGCCATTAGCCCAAGCTAGCCGGCCTTTGCAGAGAGACCTTCTGATGCATCTAACCCATTGACAACTGCATGTATCGGTGTCAGCATGCAAAGCCTGCCAGCTGCATATAGCAGCTTCGGTCACGCACACACACACACACACACCTCTTGTACCCCGGATGCTTGGCAGTCTGGTGCTGTTCCTGGCCGAATGTTTGCCCACACTCTCATGATGCTTGACACGTTTTCTCTTGGATCCACCCCCCCCCCACCTGGCATCCAAAGAGCTGGTGTGTTAAAAAGCGGCACTGCCGATGATAAACCGACGCTGTAAGTTGTGCGGAAAACCGTTTCTCGGGAAGCGGCTCGCGGCGTGGCGCATGTTTTACGCTCACGTGTTTCTCAGCATCCCTGCGGCCGGATTGTTCCGCTGCGCGGGCCACTTTTTTGCCGCCAGTGGCGGACAGCTTCGTGGCTGTCCTCCTTCTGAATTTGCCCATTTGCTTCTTTCCGTCCTTCTTTCTGTATTTCTGTCCTTCTTGCTTTGCTATTGCTTTAGTATGATTCTTGCTTTATTTCTTTCTTTATTTTGGGTCTGTCTTTCTGCACCTCCATTTTGCTTCCTTGTGGATCTGCCTTATGGATTTATTATGTCTTTCTTTGTGTTTGAACTTCTGGCGTTCTGCCCTTCGGCTGATTTCCTTCCTTGTTTCGTTTTGTCTTTGTGCAGTTCTTTGTTTCTTTCTTTATGTCTTATATCTTTCCTTCATCATCTCTTTCAAGCAAATTGTCGTTCTGTCTTCCTTCCTTGCGTCTGGCTTTCTTTCTCTCCTGTTTGCATTTCTTATTCAGTCTTTGTGTTTGTCCATCACTACCTGCTTGGGGCCAAAAATGTTGGCCGTGCTCCGGAATCTGCCTGTACTAGGGGCAAGCAGTGTGGCCGCCAGTATTTTGGGGAAGGCATTTTGGTCCTGTGATGGTGGCCTTTGGCCCTCTGGCAGTCTTCCGGCTCCTAGTGGTCGTCGTGGTGGTCCTGGCGGTCGTGGCTGTCGTGGTCGCGGCGGTCGTGCTCTTCGTGGTCATGTTCTTCTTGATCCAGGGTCAAGGTGCGCTGTTTTGGGATCACGAGGCATAATGCATTCAGTGGGGTTGAAGTGCTTCCTGTCCTGGAACATGTACGGGACAAGATGCGTCAGACAAGGTCATGCGCATGTTTCACCACGATCTCCAGGCACCCTTCACACATAGCAGGAAACCTCCGATTCGCAGTGTTGAGTGTGACGCTACAGAGGCGTCGAACCTATCTTTGTAGTCGCAGTGCCAGGAAGATCGCGCTCCTGCAAAGAGCAGTGGAAAGATAACTAAGATAACCCAACACTCCCGTGATGAAAGTCCGTCAACGACACCTCGCACGTGCCCAAAAAAGCCCGTGTGCAAGTTCAATTAGGGTGTCGTGTCGAGAAAGCTGCTTCGTTGGTGCCAGCTGCATTCAGCACGTCAACGTCTTTAGGGAGCAACAGGCATGGGAAGTTGTTTTGAGTTTGAAGCAGCATAGACAGCGTATTTTGAACCGAGCCCAACGGAGTAAAGTCCAAGCCCAAGGCCAGTCTCCAGCGGAGTTCCAGAATTGGGAAAAATCCTGGAGGCCAAGGCAGAGAAGATGTCTTCAGGTTTTCCCCCATGGATACCAGTAGCCTTGCTATGCCTTTGCTTCCTTTTTCGCGCGGCGCAGCTTCCCGCAAGGCCCACGCATGGGCCCAGGCTTTCGCTCAGGCGTCGCAGCAAAGCGCCAGCCTCAACTCTTTTGTTACGTAGGATCTTCGTGCCCGAGCAGTCGTTGGCTAGGAAGCGCAACCGAAACAGAGCGTGCAGGGCACCCCTCCCTCTAAGTAAGTCATCAGTATAAGACAATGCCAGAAGCTCCCAGCATTGGTCCTCCAGCCGAACCCTTCAAGAACTATAACTAACTCAATCAATGCTGTCAGCATCATCGCTAGTAGTCGCGAACGACATTTGCCTCCATCGCGGATGCCTTCGGCGGAGCAGGGCGAGTGGAAGTGAGAAGTGAACTGTCACAGCAGTGCACAGCAGTGCTCCGAGCAGTCGTCGAAGCCACCAGGCCTTCAGCCTCGATTTCTGTTTGCCAAGGAGTTCGGCCTACTTTGCACAAGCGTCAGAAGCTCTTCAAGCCGACGTCCTGCTCAGGTTACGCCTCCCTCCGGGTGCGCCGCTTGCAAAAGCTGCGGAAGTGCTGCGTCTAGTGACTAGTGGGTAGAAGGCTGTGGTCCTGCGCATGCAAACTGTATAATCAATATACGGATAAGTAAATGAAAAAACAAAGATATATATATATATATTTATTTATTTATTTATTTCATTAATTATTTATTTATAACATATGTGTTTACACCATATACTGTATACTAAAAACTACGTCCTCTATATCTTATGAATAAACAAATACATACAAATACAAAACACAAATACAAATATAAATAAGTAAATACAACTAGAAACATAAACACAAACATAAATATGAATAGAAACATGAATTAAATACATAAGTAAATGAATATACATATACATATACATACATACATACATACATACATACAAACATACAAACAAACATACATACATACATACATACATACATACATACACACACACATACACACACACATATATATATATGTATATATATATATATATGTATATGAATGTAAGAAAATAACTGTAAATACATAAATATATATATATACATACATACTCGAATATGAATATGGTTGCGCACCGTACATATACATGCATCACTATGTATTTCCGGCGGTCAACTATTAGATCCCCTGGGATATACCGGCTTTTTCTGTGGAGCAGGACGCCTTCCTTCCTCCCCCCTGCCCTTCTGTGACTCTGTGGTTCTCCGTCCGTGCATGCTGTCCTGTTGAGGGAGGAGAACCCATTCCCCCTTTGTGGTATCTGGTCCCCCCCCTCCCCAGTAAGTGCTGTCCTTCTAAGGACGTGGTATGTGTACCCTTCTCCGTGTCCCCCCTCTGGTGTGCGGTACTAACGCGGGACTTCTGTCTTCTGAACTTCGTCTCTGTTGGAGAGGTCTTGGGGAGCTATATGCTAGATTGTATTGGTCCTTTTCAGGCTGCCCTTGCATGTGGGGGGATGCCATTGCCGGCCGGGGGGGCTGGAGTGCACAACCATAAAGTTTCTAATATCTACATGTATGTCTATATATATATACATATATATATATACATGTACACACCCACACACGCGCACGTATATGTATTTTGCATGTGTGTTTGTAAAGGGGGATACATAAGAGAAGTATGTAATCCCGGTTCCCTTTTCGACGACCTCCCCCATGGTGCGTTGGCCGCCAACACCTCCGGGCGTTGCCGCACCCAAACTCCGAACCACACCATATACCAAAAGGGAGAGACGGCAGTCCACCAACCATGATGATCGTACCACAGACCCAAACCAAACCAAAGGGAGAAAAGCAGAGTGCACCAACCATGATGACAATTGCAAGACCCGAAGCACACCCTAACCGAACTAAACTAGATAAACAAACCACAAAGGCTCAGGAGAGTCTATCTTCCATGGTGACATGCCCCAAACCTCGAATTGGGTTCATATGATGATTACACAGTCAATTTATGTTTAATGCGGGCACACGCATGCATGAAAAGACATACTCACAAAACAGAGATGCCGACATACCTGCGTGATCATGCATGCATACCTGCATACATGCGTACAACCAACCAACCAACCAGCCAAACACACCAACAAACAAGCAAGCAAACAAACAACACACACACACACCCAAACAACCAAAATTATGTACACGTGCAAACATACATACGTACCAAGTGCATTCCTTGCATCGATCTGTCCATCTACCTATCTATACGTCTAACCACGTATTTACCTATGTGTCTACCATCTATTTGTCTGGTATCAGTCCTAACAGTCTGTGTATGCACACGTGTATGCCTGTGTGTGTCGGTCGGTAGGTCGGTCGGTACTGTAGGTAGTTGGCTAGTTAGTTAGGTAAGCAGGTAGGTAGGTAGGTAGGTAGGTAGGTAGGTAGGTAGGTAGGTATGTATGTGTGTACTTATGAATGCATGTATGTGTGTATGTATGTATGTGTATGTATGTATGTATGTATGTATGTATGTATGTGTGTGTATGTATGTATGTATGTATGTATGTATGTATGTATGTTGTGCATGTCTGTTGTGCATGTCATGTATTTCAGATGCGCATGTCTGCAGGTATTGCGTGCCTGCAGGCATGTAACTGTGTATGTACGTATGTTTGTGCAGATGTAGGTATGTAATATGTATGTACACATATGCTTGCGTGTACGTATGTCTGTCTGTCTGTCTGTCTGTCTGTCTGTCTGTCTGTCTGTCTGTCTGTCTGTGTGTCTGTATGTGTGTAGGTATATACTTATGTATATACGTATGTATATACGTATGTATGCGACGATGCATGCATGCATGTATTTATTAACTATGTCTGTTTGCATGTGCGAGCATCATTCAAGTATGTTAATATGCATGTCTGCATGCACGTACATCGGTATATGTATGCATGTACGTACACCAAGCAAGTAACAAGTAAACAGGTAAGCAATCAAGCATGTATGCTATGTGTGTACGTATGCTCGCATGGCATGCAGTGAATGCCACGTAAGGGGATGTGATGGAATGGGATGTAACGTACTGTCATACCATGCTCTGTCGTGCTGTGCCGTGCTGTGCTGTGTGATACTGTGTTATACAATGCGCACGCATGCATAGAAGCGTGGAGCATGCCACCTTGAACCTCGATATCTGTTTCTGCAGCCCGTCGAGAGCTTGTTGGTTGCTCGCCGCCAGCCACTTGCAGGCTATCAGCCAATCTCGAACAAGCTCGCGGCGGATAGTAGGCCTCAGATTCAGCTCCATGTCATGCTTGCAAGAATGGACATGCTGCATGTGGCCGTACAGGCTACTCCGTGACTATCCGTCCACGTCCGGTGTGCTCGCGCTTCTGAGCTTCGAATATTGTTAGGCAACTGCTTCTAGATTTGAAGCTGTCTGGCCCGGAGCATGACCTGGAGAGACAGATCAGCCGAGACAGACGCAGGGAAGTCTGGAGGGAACTGCGCTGAATGAAACCAGCGCAGTAGACCAGTGAACGCAGTTGCTTGATACGACGATGTGTTTGCGTTTGTTGTGATTGCTTGGTGCAGGATCCGATTTCTAATTCGTGCACATCTAGTCTTCGCTCAGTTGTTTGATGGGGCAGTCTCGCACTGCCATAGACACATGCATCTAATTCGACATGCCATATCTGCTGTCAGTTTCTGCTGTCAATGTATGAGTATGGTTGTATGCGTGTCGCGGACAAACTGGGACAGTGCACAGATCTTTCCGAAGCCACTCTGAACTTGAAGAGCTTTGGGTCGCTTATGTTGGTCCGACATGTGGAGCATGAGCATCGTTTTCGCTCTTGTTAGCTGGCTCACCGAAGTTTGTCGGGGGGCGGGGGGGAGGGCGTGTGGTGCTCTCATGCCCAAGATAGCTTTTCAGGACGTCTAGTCAAGACAAGGGCAGCCCAGACACCTTCGCAAGGACGGCTAGCTGGCTAGCATCATCAGTAAAGAACGAGAATATGCGGACACTAAAACTAGCAGTATGCAATTAGCCTTGTCCGCTCCAGCTGCGGGAGGCCTGGCTTGAGCTTGGATGTCTGCAAAGTGAGACCCGGGTTTTACTTCGCACTTGACCGTACGGCATCAGGTTATCATATTCGCAGGTGTTTGATGCACGGTTCGCCATAGCACGTTGCGACACATGGCATTACTGTCAGAAACTGTGCGCGGCAGTCTCGACTCAAGTCCTTCCACTTACTACTACTCTTACCACTCTGCGACGTAACGTAGCCCAGCGCTTCAAGCGCCACTTGGCAGCATCTTGCATCGACTTGCTTACGTTCTGCGCTGTCAGAGCTTTGTTGAGGCTTCTCAAAAGAAAGTCTCTCACCCGGGGCCCTTCCGCTCCGGTTGCTCCATATTTTCATTTACTGTGCCTCGGCCTGGAATCCTCGAAGTGTCCAGTCACACAGCCGGCCGAGCGAAGGTGAAGCAAAGCTCCTACGCCATGAGATTCGCTAGGAGTTTCTTTTTCGCCACGGCCTCTTGGCCCGAGTATGTTGCCCGCCTTGCCGAAACAAGAATCGTCCTGTCGGATCTTGTTGAGGTCGTTTGCATGCTGCTGCCTGTGCATGCAGCACGTGATGACTGCACCGCGGGGTCTTTGCATGACATCTTGGCCACTGCCCAGGAGGCTCTATCGTCATAATAAGACCCGGTCGCAGTTGTTCCCTGACTCACACGCCTGCTAGATGATCCTGCTCATCGCCGCCTTCACAATCGGCTGGCATTTGCGCCTTGGAAGCCTTGGATTGCAAGCCCGAGGTTGATGTACATGAGTTGCTTTTCATGCTGCTCGGAGCTTAGGATAGGACCTTTCTTGGGTGTGGCGTTCCGCCAAAGCCGCGCAGCCGCCCTTTGCAATGCCATTCGCGGCAGCCCTCGTCCAGGGTCTCTCGCAGCACAGGGCTTAAATTGCGTACGTGTGCGGAAGATTGGGAAAGCCCTCTGTTTGGCAACATTGCAGGAGGACCGGCCACGCGACTCTGGTGCAGCAGGTGCGAGAGTGCCGCGACTCCGCAGAGCCCTTACATCGCAATCGCTCTGTCAGGCGACTCTCCCTCCGGTCCAGGCCTAACACAGCAAGCTCAGGCTCTCAGCTCATGATCGGGGTCACTGAAGGGAATGCATCAGCTTACCCCCCCCCCCTTGTCTGACAGGTTTGATGGCAGTTCCTGTTTTGGCATTCGGAAATCATTGCTTGAGTTTCGGGGCTTCACGAGTGTTCAGGCGACCATGAGCATCGTCACCTGTGGTACTCGAAGCATAGTATGACATGCCATAAGGTGGGCATCTTGCTACTGTCGTTGTTCCACCACCATCATGGCGTTCTGTGTGCATGCAGTCATGTCGACAGCCACCATCGTGCTGTACAGTAGGTGTTGAGGGTGTCAGGTTTTTCTGCTTGTGGTGGCTGTTGAAGCAATGATGACCAAGAGTGCTGATGATCATGATCTTCAGGTCCCAAACTCAAACTAGTATCACTGCTACTAATTACTAATGCGTCTACTGCTACTGCTAGCTTTGAAACTACATGAGACTACAGGGTCGTGGTATGTGAGGTGACGTGCTGCAAACCCATTCAAATGCCAGTGTTTGCACAGGCCGTGCAAATGGTAGAAGTCCCCTCAACAAAAGCTGTCCCTGCGGCTGATACAGGCCTATTCGTTGGACCGTGTAAAGGAAGCAGAAGCTAGCAAGGCGTCGCAATGGTCGGTCTTCAGCTTGGAAGCTGGAAGTGGATGGGCGATGCCGAGAATGCAACCTTTCGCATCACGAAAGCTTGGCAACAGATGTGATGTCGCATCGAGCTACATTCCTGCATACGATAGAGCTCATCAGGAGCCCTGTACATGTCATGGGCAACGGCAGTCGATCAGACATGGTTTTCCAGAACTTCGAATTTCTTCGCGTGTTTCTAGAGATTTCTCCCGTACTCTCAATCAAGATCCGTTATGGAGGCGTTCTCGTTTCCTCCTGGACGCCCGGACGTGGCTGTCGATCTCTGGATCTCTATGGCTGAGAAGACCGAGGCAGAGGCAAGTTAGGCTTGCTGCTTAAGCCTGAAGTAGCCTTGTTCCTCTGGCATTCAGGGCCTTGGCTCGCTGCCTGAGCCTGCGTTCTATGCCAAAGCCTTCGAGGCGCCCTAGTTCCAGCCTGCAACAGGAGTCTGGAGTTTAACGTGTCAAGAGGCGTGCATCGAACTCGGCGACTTCGACTCTGCACATCGCTTGGCTCGCCGAGCAGCTTGGAGCGTGCCTGCAGGCCAAGGGGCCACGGAGACAAGAATTAATAAGGGCAAGGGCCAGTGGTTGTGCTGGTTTGGAACCGGAAAGGCTTAGCAAGACTTCTCGAAGCCAGGCAGAATAAGACTGCCAACGGAAAGAAGCTGCATTTGTCTGTGAGTGCCGCGTCCAGGATCGTCAGGATCATCCAAACTTCTGGCTCTGGCTCGGTGGTAACTTGGCACCAATTCGAATCCAGTGACTCTAGTGGCCATGGCGGTACATCAGGGTCTACATGTGGGGGCATCTGTTTCTACACTTTCTAGATGAAATCCAAGCCCCGACTTCGGAGCATGTTCGGCGCATGCCGCAAGATCTGCAATCAGCTGCCCTCACAAGGCTGGCAAGAAGGCAGAAGATCGATGAGGCGATGGAGTGCATTAAGCAAGTGCGACGGACTGGCAACGCAGTGGACCTGCGGAGCATGAAGCCACTTATATAGACTTGGATTGGCACAGCAAGACCTTTTCACTTTAAGCATCTCTAAGCGTTATGGCCTGTGCACTTGCCATGAGCTGCGGCCCAAGGCCTCTCATCGTTGTTTGCGCGCAGCTGGGACAAGTGGACCTAGGTGTCCTGGCTTGCTTGCGATGTAGTTGCCGAGATACCACGGTGGAGTGCTTGCCACGATTGAAGGGGGCGTGTGCAGTATGCATCTGCGAGCGTGTGGCCTTCTTTTTCGATAGCCTAGAATACCCTAGGTGCAGCGACAAACCAAAAACACGAATGCCTTTCTTTTCAACTTGCGAAGAATCTAAGAGCCCAAACCCTCCAAACTAACATACCTTCCTTACACCGCCACCTTGGATTGAAGCCATTTCAGAGAATCTAGAACCGTGCAGAACCTTCGTAATGCAACATGGAGTAATCTACTGCCTCCGATGGCGTCCGAAGACTCTATCTTGAATTTGACGCATCCTGAAAAATATCCTGCTGTTCTGCCTCGCTGCCTGCCTGTTATGTTGCAACCCCCGCCGCCAACGGCAGAGAAAGCTTGCCTCACCAGACAATTACGAGCAGTCGCCGAAAAAGATCCTGTTTGTCCTGCACAGTCGGCATCATGTACTGTGGGTGCATGTTTGTGGCAACATCGTTGCATCAGTATTTTTTGTACTGCCCCCCGCTGCACCGCCCCCTCCGTCAGCACGGTGCAGTCCGCCTGGACGCTGACATCACGGGGGAGCTCAAGGAGTCGAAAAGCGTATCATCATCACGATTCGC